CCCAAATCATCATGCGGCGAATAAGAAGGGATTTTCGGTCAAATGTTTCAAAGTTGGGTTGTCACCTTCAACGTTTTCTCGGGAAATCTTATCACCAAACAGGAAGCCATAACGCTGCCAACCTTCCATTGGAACGTGAAAAAAATGTAGAAACGAGTCTGAATATACTTGAAAATTTATTTTTATTACAAATTTTCAAACTTTAACCAACATCAATCCCAATATTACTCTTCAATCGTTTTTTCTTTGAAACCCTAAAGATATATCATCATTGAGATATGAAAGTTTCATGGAGCAAGAGATTTGTCTTATATCGGTAGAATTTTTTTTATACGATAATATATAAAAACGAAAGAAAAACGATATATATGATCCATAGGTAAAATCTGTCAAATTATGATGTTTCTATCAATTGGAAGGGAGAAATAAAAGAGACTTTCTTCAAATTACACATTTAGAGACAATCACCACAATGTTTTTTTTTCCACTATACCACTCGAGAAATTCTAATTGTGGTGTATTGACCCAACACCCACTCCCCAAATTTCATGGATTTGTCATCAAAATGGATCACCTGCTCACCCATTTCATTTGGGTTCCACCTAAGCCATATATATGTGTATACATGACTCCACTTCACGTATATATATAACTATATATACATATATATAACCTAAACCCTACAAGTCAAATGTCATAACTTAGTCAACGGGCCTGCAAAGAAGCCATATACATACATGGTTTCTTGTTGGAATCATACTCAAGTATTTGGATTGGCTTTCAACTCTAGGAGTTTCACTTGAAGACAACTTTGAATGGTTGAATATTTTTTTGGGTTCATGTCATTTTCGGTCGCTGTCATATTCTTGGAAATTATTACCAGATGCACGTACGCTTCATCTCCTTCTTAATTTCTTTTTTTTTTCTGCCCTAAATAAAATCAGTTTAGTTAATTAGCTTCCAAACGAAAGGCATGCATACGACCTTCTTGTTCAAACTATACATAATTCGGATTTCTTCGAATCCCTAAGTCTTCGGAAATCAAGTTTTGATGTTAGGAAAGCGATTGATTTGGGAAAATGGAATTGTATATACAGATACACACAACATATACAGGCGCATATACGTGAACTTAGGTATATACATATATATCTATATATATGTGGGTGTGGGTGTGCGTGGTGGGTGCAGAAGTGGGTACGTAAAATAAAGTGCATGTGTTGATTATTTAAAAGACATTCATTAGTTGTTAACTGTTGAATAACAGTGGAAATTACCAAATAAGTAGGGGGCTAATTAGTTGGTTCAATTGTTTCTTTTGTATCATTTTTATAATTAATGGCGATTAATTAATTAATTAATTACACCAAACCCATACAGACGCTTTTTTACTTATTTTTTCATCTTCTGTAAACACATATATACGCAAACGTATACATGAGCATGCTGGTTAAATTATTCATACTAAAAAGATATCGAGAAGTCTAGCTAGAAACTTATTATATTATTTCAATTTTTTCTTTATTATATGATTGAATATATAATTTTGTTTGAGATTCTTCTATTTTTTTTTCTTCACATAATTTTCCCATGAGTTCAAGTTGTCGAGCGATCCAGAATATATTTATTTAGAAAAATAACTGGAAAACAATATGATTACAAAAAACCCGATTTTTTTGTAATGGTGAATTAGAAAAATTAGAGATCGAAATTTGCCCACGCATTATTCTTGTGTATTTTAATAAGAGTTGAGGTGGTATCTTTTAACTTTTTCCATACTCTGCTACTATATATTATGAAAATATATAGTTGTCGGGGAAATAGACAGCAATAGGCGAGCAAACGACAGCAAAATAATATAATAAAAGAGGATGAAAAGGGAAAATTATTAAATATTTGAAAATAACAAATGTAAATTTTAAAATAAATGTTTCTATAAACAATAAACAATGTGGGGCGCCATTGCGATTACATTATTAATTAACAATATTTCCGATTTCTAATCTTATCCACGATCCTCTAAAGTAAAAGATCCATACAACTATACGTACGTACGCAGTGTAGTTTTTTTTTTCTTAGGGTAATTTGGTGTGTCACGATATATTATTTGCATTTTTCATAAAGGAAATATAGGTTTAAATTACATATTCTTTTTACGAAATATGAAAGTTAAAAAAAACAGTGTAGGATCTTTATAAAAAAAATTAATAATTAAATGAAATTGTCGGGTAACTGCAGGGAATTATCCTATAATGGCATTTAAGAAAGATTATGGATAATCCATATTAGGATCACTAATTGGAATCTTCTTGTTTCTTTAAACCTTAATTATTAATGGGGTATAGCTTATAGATGCTCCTGCCACTTTATCTGAGTGCGTGTCAAATTAACTATTCATATATTTAATTAGTGTAACAATATCGCAACATTAATTATATATATATATATATGAGATTAAATATTGTACAAATATTTCAATTTAAATCTTATTTAAAAATTTAATTACACTACTAATATTATATCAGATATCTAACTACTAAAACATTCATTTTATACATATAGACTGTATCATATACGTATTTAGACCAAAAAAAATATATTGGAACGTACGGTAGTGGATATTGTTTTTATCTAATCAAAGAAATAGGAGGAAAGTATGGTGTACTTCTAAAGTCACGTCACGAATCTATCTGAAGAAAAAATATCTAATTTTCAGCACGGGGCTACATTTTTCTTTCCACCTAAATTATTAAAATGAAAAATGAAAATATTGAGAAAGAAAAAAATAATAATATTGTAAAGATTAAAGATAACAGAAAGCAAAACTTTGAGGATCCAATTAAATTATTTAAGATATAACTTATATATAATATAAAAGAATTAATACCTAAGAGATAAGCTTTTTAACTTTTCACCGAGTCTGAAACCACACGAACCAAACATTTCGAGTGACTCTAAAACTATATTTAATTTCTTTCCCCAAAGTTTCATTTCATGTACTTTATATAAAAAAAAAGATTTCATTTCATGTACTGCTATTTGGCAAATTCAATCAGAAAATATATGGAAATATTTTTTTTAACAAACAAGGTTTGTGAAAAAAATGCAAAACATAAATTTTCCACAATGTTCTAAAAAAATATCCCGCGCGCGTGTGCATATATAAAGATATCATATACCTATGTGATGATAAAAGTAAAAAATTATGAAAAATATTGTCATTATATGGAGAGAAAAAAATTCAGAATACAATAAAAATATAAACTAAACTAATATTTATATAAACTAAAATTACAATATAAATATATGGTAAGTAGTAAATAAAGGAGAGGATAATTTGAGGAGAGAGAGAGAGAGAGAGTGAAAAGACAAGTCAAACGTCAAATCCGACCTCTTCTTATCATACGACTGTCAGTGCCTCCTGTGTTGTCTTTCTTTTCTCTACCCACATTTTCCCCCCTTTTTTTTTTAATTTAATTTGTTTTTCCTATTTTACACAACCAAACAAAAAACTTGAAAAAAAAAACAGTTTCTCTCTCTCTTTTTATCAAACCTAAAAATAAAATAATTTTACGTGATATATATATATATATACACATTGGCGTAATTAGAACTATAATTTTTTTTAATTTGAAAATTTTATGGGTTATTGTTTAAAAATATAATTATTCGATTGTTACATTATATCTTAATTGAAAAAGGAGTTTCGGATAACAATTTTCGCTTAAATTTGATTCAATAGTATTTTATAATTTTCACACCCGATCGACTTAATTAAAATAATTTTAAAATTGTGTTTGATGTAGATATTATTTAGAGTTGATTGCGTTTTTTTATATCGAAACATAAATGCCTTCCCTACATGTATGTATACGTGTATATATATATAGGGATTAACATTCAGTAAATTAAAAGAAAATTCAATAATTACCCTTCTTCTTGGAAGAAGACACAACTCAAGCCGAGACAACAGTCCTCCTCGAGCCTCGAGGTCCTCAACACATTTAGCAAACCGAAAAAGAAGCTTTTGTCCCTTTTTTTAAAGACTTAATGACGCTCTAAATAATGTTTATTTCCGCACCAAAATCCCTTAATTAACTACTGCCCCCCGTTTTTTTAGTACTAGTTGACTAGACAGTATTTTTTTTTTTATTAAATAGAGATATCATTTTATATTTTCTAAATAATTTTTTAAAATAATTTCCAATTTTAATCAATATTAATTATGATATATATTGACTTTTTTTGCATTTCTTTGAAAATGGAGAAAAAAAAAATCAAAATGCCAATTATTAAAAAAATTAAAAAATAGAGTGAGTATACTCTAAAAATCAATCAAATCCTCTCCACTAATTATTTTCCTTTTTCACGATGCAAAAAATAAAATTCTTTCGGGATGACAACGAGGGTAAATTAAATTAGATGGTCAGAGCAGTTGTACGAGTGGTCAAACATACACCAAACCGTCAAATCATATAATTCACTTCCGTCTGAAATTTTCACTCGCTTTGCCTCAACTAATTAGGCGAATGTTCTTTACTCATCGAAGCTCGCTGTCAAAGCTACCGTATGCCATCACTCTGTACTTGCACATGTATGCATGTATGTATGTATGTATGTATGTATGTATGTATGTATGTATGTATGTATGTATGTATGTATGTATGTATGTATGTATGTATGTATGTATGTATGTATGTATGTATGTATGTATGTATGTATGTATGTATGTTTATTAACAAAATTAGGAAAAAAGTGCAGGGCGTTTAGGATATGGGCATAAGGGTTAAGTCAGAACCTAATGATGGTGATTAATTATTGCCTTTTTTTCCCTCCCCTATTGTATACTCTTTATTCACAAATCTAATGATTTCACTTCTTTCCATTGCCCCCCCCCATTAGATCCGCCCACCTCTCTCTCTCTCTCTATATTGCCATGTTTTCCTAATTATGGTAATAAAAATAGCTAATCTTGATTATCTTAAACAAGCCCAAAACCAATTATTCATTTTCATCCTCCCTTTTTTAAATACCTAAGTCCCATCCAGATCTCTCTCTCTCCCTCTCGCTGGCCAAAAAGAAAAAAAAAATCTTGTGAGCACGACGGAATCCATCAAACATTAAAGAATCTCTCTCCCTCTCTCTCTCTCTCTCTCTCTCTCTCTCCAGAGAAGAGGAAAAAGAGTGTGGCTTTCATCTTCTTTCGGATCTTCACAGATCAAAGCTTGAACCTTTTTCGCCGGAATAGTCCACCGGTTTCTCCTCCTCCTTCACCCAACGAAGACAAAAGCAACAAAGTTTTACCGGGGAAAAACCCTAATTTTTGCGGCAGAAAAAAAAGTATTTCAATCATGAGCAGTGTCGAAGATTCCCTGCGATCTATGTCGTTGGATTACCTGAACCTTCTAATCAACGGCCAAGCTTTCTCCGACGTTACCTTCAGCGTGGAAGGCCGTCTCGTCCACGCCCACCGCTGCATCCTCGCCGCAAGGAGCCTCTTCTTCCGCAAGTTCTTCTGCGGGCCCGACCCGCCTCCGCTCGATCCGTCGGGAATGACCCGACCCGGATCCGGACCCGCCAGCCCGACCCGAACCGTCGGTGTGATACCCGTGAACTCGGTGGGGTACGAGGTGTTCCTGCTTCTGCTTCAGTTTCTGTACAGCGGACAGGTGTCGATCGTGCCGCAGAAGCACGAGCCGAGGCCGAATTGCGGGGAGAGAGGGTGTTGGCACACGCATTGCACCTCTGCCGTCGATCTCGCCCTCGACACTCTCTCCGCCGCTCGTTACTTCGGCGTCGAACAGCTCGCCTTGCTCACTCAGGTTCTTACATATACATATGCGTGTGTGTATATATGTATATGTATATATTTATACCCTTTTGATATCTGTGTTTATCTCCATACACATCGAGTAAAGGTCTCACCTTTCCTCTTGTCCTGATTTGCTTCTTTTCTGTGCACTCATCTGTTTCCTCCGCCATCATCCTTATTTTTGTCCAATTTTGTTGTTTCCTAATCAGTGATATTCTTGATTTGAATGCAAATCTCATGTTTTGGGTTTCTAATCATTGTTTTCTTTCCCCAATGACGTATATCCTCGTCTATTGCAATTACAGACATTTCTCTTTGTTTGTCCTTAGTTGGCACACACATTGCACCTCAGCCGTCGATCTCGCCCTCGATACCCTCTCCGCCGCTCGATTCTTCGCCGTCGAGCAGCTCGCTTTCCTCACACAGGTTCTTACGTGTGTATATATATATATATATACAGCCTTTGATCTATATATATGTTTATATACAATACGGCCTTTGATCAAGTAAAGGTCTCGCCTTTTTTTTTCCATTTCTGGTGTGTTCTTTTTTCTTGATTTCATGTGTGGTTGAGCTTAAGCTTAGATACGTTGGTCTTTCTTGGATTTTTTTCCACTTTGCTAATCAGATTCCTTTACGTTGCTTTGCACTAAAAGCCGATTTGGAGTAAACTTCCCGTAATTGAACGATAATGTTTTGTCACACGGCCGAGAAATTTCCCAAATTTAGAAACTTTATCAGTTAGTGTGCCCACTTTCCTGATTTGGAAGTTAATTAATGCTCAAATAAAGTATCAAACCTACTCCACAGAACAGGCAAAGCAAATATAAAACAATTGAAGAAAAAAAATGGAAGAGATAAGCCCTCTTGTCTCAATAACTTGTTTTGGCAGAAACAATTAGCAAGCATGGTGGAGAAGGCCTCCATTGAAGATGTGATGAAAGTGCTTGTAGCTTCAAGGAAGCATGATATGCATCAGCTATGGGTCACCTGCTCTCACTTGGTCGCTAAATCCGGCCTGCCTCCCGAAGTATTGGCCAAGCATCTTCCCATCGACGTCGTCGCCAAGATCGAGGAGATTCGGCTAAATTCTTCAATGGGCCGGCGGTCCCTAATGGCTAACCACCACCATGACCTCTCCGCCACGCTAGACCTTGAGGACCAGAAGATAAGGAGGATGAGACGTGCATTGGACTCATCCGACGTCGAGCTCGTGAAACTGATGGTGATGGGCGAAGGGCTCAACCTGGACGAGTCGCTGGCTCTGCATTACGCGGTGGAGAATTGTAGCAGGGAAGTGGTCAAGGCCCTGCTCGAGCTAGGAGCCGCGGAAGTGAACTACCCGGCTGGACCCGCGGGTAAAACGCCTCTACACATGGCGGCCGAGATGGGTTTCCCCGACATGGTGGCTGTCCTCCTCGACCACCATGCAAACCCTAATGTCCGGACGGTGGACGGTATAACGCCTCTGTGGCTGTCCTCCTCGACCACCATGCAAACCCTAATGTCCGGACGGTGGACGGTATAACGCCTCTAGACATTCTAAGAGCCCTAACGTCGGATTTCTTGTTCAAGGGGGCAGTTCCGGGATTGACCCACATTGAGCCGAACAAGCTCAGGCTTTGCCTCGAGTTGGTCCAGTCAGCAGCAATGGTGATTTCACGGGAAGAAGGGAAGAATAACGATACTAATCCCGGTATTTACCCGCCTATGAACGACGAGCATACAAGCGGTAGCAGCGGAGGTAGCAGCGGTCTTGGAAACTTGGTCCATTTGGATTCAAGATTGGTTTATCTCAATCTCGGAGCTGCCAACTCCGGTCAGGTGGGTTCGAGTCATGATCACGAGGAAGATCATAGCAGTAGCCAGAGCAGGCATCACCATGATCCATCCATGTATCATCATCATCATCATCATCACTTCTAAGTCTCTATTTTTTGCATATGGAGATGTGGACATGCATATATCTGCAAACAAAACATGCCATGGGACATGGGAGGTGAATTAGAAATGGCACGGTGGAGGAGTGCAATACAAAGAGAGGTTAAATGAAACAGGGTTATGTTTAATTATAATCCGATTTTAGTCATTATTATTTTCGCCATATAATTCGATCATTTTGCATTTCCTTCAACATTTTTTTTTTGTTTTAAGGATCAGAAAATTGTAGAAGCGAAGGAGAAAAAGACCCGGGAGTTATATAAGGGGCAATCTGTTTATCAGTCTTAATTATATATGATCACAAATTGGATACAGAGATTTGATAATATATTTTGATCCATCTATATTATTAATTTATTTTACATGTTAGCACGTGAAAATTGTTATACTCGATTCGATCGCAGATGCGGTTTGAACAAATATTGAAATTTTACGTTTTAAAAAATATCTCAAGAGAATGAGATAGAAGCAAGCAAGCGATGTCTTGTAATTAAAGATTTTATCTGCTTTCGTTTCACATATGTATGTTTAATATATATATATATACTATATGCGTAGTTTATTTGTAGTTTTGTTAACTTTTTTTACTTAAATTTTATTTTTGTGTTTAATTGTATATATCCGCGTTACATATGCGCGTAATTGTGCATGCATGATGGAAGACATGCAAACGGCATGATGCAATGTACTCAGGACTACCTCTTCCAATTAATGTTTTATTCATACGTATGTACATGCATACGTCTATACGAATATATACACATATATGAAAGTTAGATAAATCCATAGAATAACCCGAACGTGAAAACATTCGCAACTTTGTGTTTCCCACCGTTATGGATATCTATATATATATACACACATGTTACATATATAAATATTACCTTTTAAATTAGAAGAATCTTTTCTTTAAGACACATTTTCTATGCGATAATATTTACATTTGTATGTCTAACTAATGTTCACCACATCCAAAGGATGAAAGATTCGCTAGAGAGTGGAATCGAACTCATAACCTTTTGGAGAATCATAAGCTCTTTAACCACTACACCATACCCCAAACTTTGGGAGTTTAATCGGTTAAACGGGACGTAAAACATTTATATCGCTCTGAATTCGAACATCAAATTTGGGAAGAGATTGTATATTCCAAATTATATGGTTTGCCTCCGACTCCAAATCTAGTCCGGACGTTGGTAGTGCAATAGATTCGGTTACCGTTCTATGATGACACGAGAACTGATCATTTTCCGGGTATATCCATATATTCGTTCATTCTCCAAAAAAAAAAAGATCAGATGAATTTTTTTTATTTTTTAAAAGGTTGATATATATTGGAATTAATGTTTAATCAATGTACGTTGAAGAAAAACATGGAGATGCGGTCTTTTAGACTCTTATTGGGCCATGTTTGGACATTGGATGTATGTACATAATCTCCCTTGACATGAGCTGTTCTTCTTCATTCCACTGTTATTATATCCACACCACACCCACTGTTTTTTCAACTATATATACTTTTTTGAAGACTATACATTCCCACGATTTACAAAAAAAAAAAAAAGATTTGAATCTATTGAATTTAAAATATTTAAAAATGAAATTGGAAAACGGTACGAAATTTATACGAGTCACATCGCATCAACCTGACGAACCAAACCGGTCTAAATTGGCCGTACATTCTAATGTCCAGTAGTAATCCATATCTTTCGTAGTAAAAAAAGGAAACCTGTCAGATCGCCGAGCGACCACCCCAGCCGGGTGAGACCCGGGCTGAGTAACGATCCTCTACAGCCAGAGAGATGATCCCAAAGGAACAATCGCAGGCCGTCAATCACGCTCCGATCGCACGGCCCACATTCATCCACCAGGTTTGAAGTCCTGTCTCCTTTGAACCCAAGGATACAGATGTACGAGCCTATAGAACAGATCCTGTTCAAGTAAGGTCGTGACCAACCATTGGGTTTCACTTCCCTATATTCAGACAATAATGTTATGCAATATCCGATGTGGGACTTATTTGCCAACTAAACTTTGGCTTTATATTTATTAATTAATTATTGACCAATTGTCCGAAATCTAATTTATGTCTTTTTTTTAGTGGAAAACCATATAAATCAAACTTCACAACAGTTTCGTTAAGTTTCCTGGTTTGTGTTTCCACACGCATCCAATTCCAAAATATATATTTGGAAATCAAAGGTACAAAAGATATATCCAAATTATATAGTTATGAATTATTTCTTTAAATAATTTCAAATATAAAATTGGAAATTAAAGGTAAAAAAAGATTTATCCAAATTATGTAGTAATGAATTATTTCTTTAGATCGTTTTTTTAATCAATAAACTTTAAAAAAAATAATAAGATGATCTTCAATTTTCTTTCTTCTATTTCTTGTCGATATATATGTGGGCGGGGAGGCTATTGGGCTTGGGCTTCGACAAAGGTGATAGTCATCTTTGTATTTGCCGACGCTTATATGGGCCCACGAGGTGATATAGCCAGTCAGGTTTTGATACGTGTTGAAACGTACCCACGCACTCCTGTTCGGATTTCCAACGTAGGTAACCACGAGTTTTATTTTTCTTCTTTTTTTTTTTGGAAAAAATTCTTTTTTTTTTTCACGAACCCAAAATATTTTCATTGGATTAATTTACTCAGGCAGTGATCAATTGTTAGAAACTATTATTATGGTTTTCTTGAAACCACCTAAGAACATAAAAAAAATTCAACATAAATAAAAAAAATATTATACTAAACAAATTCTAATATTATGTAAATTTCTCCACAATTGGGGAATAAGAAAAGGGCAGATGCTATAGTGTTAAAGCCGCATACTTTTCTTCATATCACGTCTATTCAATGAGAGATGGGACATGATTATTCTCCCAGCTGTTGAGACAGACTCGAAATGGTCCTGTGGTTCGATTTATATTTTTTGATAATTAAAACATTTATCGAATTTTTGGCCCAACAATATCTTTCAAAATTGAAAAAATCCTGATAAATTTGGGAAAAACTCGAAGATGAGTTTTGATAAAAAAAAAAAAAAAAGTTTTGGTACCCACAGTTGGGCGAATGCAAACTTTGAAAAAAAAAAAAGGTATAGACATTTAGTTAATAATTTGTGTGATTTTATCTGTTTTCATGCAAATTTGTTTTCAGTAATTGTCTCATTCGTGGCTGGTTCATGCGGCGGGTCGAGAAGATTAATCAAACAAACAATCAGATAGATATGTTCGAATCTTAAACACAATCTAAAATAATAATTATGAATATTTTTGAATTATATATAAAATAATTTCTATTGGTTCGTAATTACCAATGGCCATAACGGAACAATAACATCACATTAGTGGTGATGACTTTGCATCAATCAGCGGGTCCATACAGTACTTATCGTCAGACATTTCCAAGCTACTTAACTTTACACATCGTTTATATTAAAAAAATAAAATACATAACATAATAAAATAAATATAAAAAAACAGAATTAATTTTGTTATTATATCTCTTGTTCCTTTTTATATTATAATAAAAATATTTCATATATTCATAAAAAAAATATTAAAATGAATTAAAAAATATAGATAGAACAAAAACAATTAAGATACATAATATTTGATATAATATTGTATCTGTTATTATTTTCAATCATATCTAAAATATATATTTATATTTATTTTTCCTCCATGTAGTTACCGCACAAAACTATAAAAAGCAAATCGAAGTGTAATATAATTTCTTTTCGAAACTCAAAATGAAATTTGCTTTCTCTTTTGAAATGAGGGGACCGACCAATCAGTGACTCTCAGTGAACGGTTGTCAAATGAAATCCACTCTTTTCTTACATTCTTGACTTCTCTCGCGCCAATTCTTTACCATCCTAAAAATACAGAATTTTTAAATAAATACATCAAATTTTCCCATTTATAAATATAGTAACTATTTAAAACTTCAACGTAAATACATAAATATGACAGTTCGTTTTTAAAAAAAAAATATATATTCCCTCCGGTTTTAAATACATATCATTTTAGAAACTTTTTATTATTATTTAATAGATATCGTTTTACAGTTTCTAGATTAATTTTTTAATTTTACTCTTATTTAAAAATATCTCAATTCAATAGATTATTAATGAAAATGTAGGGACGCAGATGAAGAAGGGACGGGGGTGGCATGTGTGGAGCAAATGAAGACGAGTGTCCTGGGGTGGGCCCATTCTCTGTCCCTTTCTCCTTCATCTTGTTTATTATCAGGGATAATCCCATATTCCCCCACAAATTTTCGAAAAAGTTCTAATTTCCTATACCAATTTTTAATTTGACAAAAAACTACACCGGATTTCAAATATTTCCAAATTCCCACACAAAATCTTAAAATGTGTTGCAATTTCCTCCATATCCGTAAACGTCATTATGTTCTGTCAATTTTAATGCTGACGTGGCATGCCACGTCATACAAATTTCGCCAAATCAGCACATTTCGCCACATCATCCAGCCACATCAGAAAATAAATAAAAAATTAAAATAAAAATAAAAAATTTCTAGAATTTTT